TTTAGTTTATTTAACTAATTTTTATATCTTTACATAAATATTAATTTCTTTTAAAAATCAGCCAGATTCAGCTAGATTAACCTATGGTTTTGACGAGATGTAAGTTTTCTCGTTAAATTATCTTGTAATTTTATGTTTATTAAAATATAAAAGTTAATAATTTATTATTTTATTCAACTAGGCAAGTACAACAAATTTTCTTAACTAAGTTTTGTACGTTTGTTTAATCAATAACTTATTTCTAAATTTCAACCAGATTCAGCTAGATTCAGCAGTTACTATTTACACTTCAAGTTATTCAGCTAGATTCCCCGAAAAAAATCACAAAAAATTTAGCTTGATTATGCAATTCAACAACATTCAGCCACATTCAGCTGTTACCATTTAAACCCTTTATATCCATGATCTATCCGTCTATCCATATCTGAATTTGAGTGTGGTATATATTTCATGGATTATATATCAGCGAATTAGAAGTTTAGAACTTTTGGGTTATGAAAAATATGGATCCATTTCTTTTTTTTTTTGTCAAAATTCTTCTAAAAATGATTGGTAACCAAAAGCGGTACAAATTTTTCAGCGGTAAATTGTTAGTATAGTGCAAAGCTTTAAAAACTAGCTGTAATTTGTAAGAGCATCTCCATTAGTTGAGTATCTCATATGGGTCTCTAATTTATATAATTTTAATATATTTAATTAACTTTTGATATCTAAAAACAAATTGTCCACTTATTACAAGCTTACATGTGTTAGAAAAGTCTCTAATGGGTATCTTGTTTGAGAATCCCATTATGCTATCTCTCCTACTTTTTCTATTTTTTTTTGTCATTTTTCATTTATTTATAATGTTAATGGAGATGTTCTAAGTTGTACAAATAAAATTGAATGTAAAGTTTTTGAGAAAACTTTTGTGATTGGTATAATCTAAAACGTTATAAATTATAAACTAGCTGTAAATTTAATAATTTGGTTACCAATAATGTCAAAAACTATCATAAACGAACGAATGCATTGATTGACAAAGCATTTAAATAAACATCATGCTCTTTATCATTAAAACTTGATTGGTAGACAAAACATTAAGCAAAACGTTTAGTAAATGCTAATGCTCTCTAATGGCTCCTACCCTCAATGCTCCTAAATAAAGTTTTTCCTGAGTTTTGACCTATGCTATTATTAAAAAATATTTAAAAAAAATATTAAACAACTAATCTTTTTATATATAGAAGATCAAAAATAAATTATATTAACT